ATAGCGAAGCAAAGTGTCCACCGTAGTAGGAAATATATTTTGCGGCAACAGCAAAACAAAGTCGAAAAAAATATGGAATGAATTGGAGAATGAAGTATAGACGTACAAGGTCGAGTGACCTGCTGTCTTAGAATCGATTTGCGTGAGATTATGCCAGCAAAGAAGACCACACACTGCGAAAGAAATAGGAAAGATGGACAATGGGTAATCTGAAATATTGATTTTCATTGGGGATGGAAATACAGGATTACGTTCAATGAAGCTCAGTTAAAAAGAAAATTAATTTTGTACAAAAACGATCAAAGTTACCGTTTCTTTCAAAAACAACATTTAGAAACATTCAGTTTGATATTCCTAATTATTTCATGACTAGAATTATTGAAGGCGTTTTACGTTTATATATTCCAATAATCAAAGGTCTGCAAATAGCAATCAGATTATGCTTCAGTTCTCTTCAGGTGCTTTTTTATAGTTGATTGTGCCATCTTTGTTTATTTGCATTTTAACAAAACTTAAATCATTTAGTCAATTTTATCTCCTGTTTGCCTTAAACGATGTGACTTATTTTAGATTGCTTAAACATCTGTCGAAACGTTCAGCTGTCTGGATGTCTGTCTGCCTTAATCGCTCATTATCTCAAAAATCAATCGAATGTTTACAAGAATGCACATTAATATCGTAACTAAGGCTAATGACCTCAAACAATTCAGATTAGTCATATTTGTTTGAAGTGTGCATTCAAGAATAAAGTGCATTAAACCTTGAAGATTAGTCGCTGAATTTATATTTGCCTAACCAGAAAACTAAGTCCTGACAGCTAAAATAATTACTTTTTAAAATATTAGCTTCAAAGCTCAGCAAATTATTGAAAGCTTTGACTTCTAAGAAAATTTTATTGTATTCTTAAATCTCAAGCAGACTGTAAATGCATCAGGCAAAGGAGCACAGACAGTTTCGAGGTGAATTCTATTTTGTTCTTACGGATAGCTAGCCCACTGTTACAGCCAGCCCACGCCGCTACTCCTATTCCAAATGGAGAAGGAGGACACTAAAGCAGACAGGGATAGTCCACACGGCAGACGCTTATTAATCAAGTTAAAAATCTCCTTATGGAATAGTTGCTGGCCAGAGAAAACTTAGCGAGTTCTTTGATGGCTATTGGATCTTCTGCACAATAGGGTAGATTAGGAGCGGTCTGATAAAGAAGCAGCCGGTGAATTGAGGGAAACGGAAGTAGAGTGTTATGGATGTAGCACTCCCAATTCTCAAAAGTATATTTTTTTGCCATTACATCTTCTTTATGCTATAGTTGAATAGTAAATATGCAGTCTATTTCTAAATCCATTTGGCTTTTGCATTTCAAAAGAGAATTTAGAACTTCAGCTAATACTAGGGAGCTTTCACTTTTAAATGCGTAAAGAACATCACTGTCACTAGGAATATCTCTTTAATTCCCTTAAAATTGCCCTTATCTTCAATTGTGTTTTCCTTTCATTCCTACTCTTTGTTATAAGGATTTCGAAAATTATGCACTTCTGTGAGTTAGCAAAGTAACTAATTGATTTATTACAAGATGCATAAATGACTGAGCTATAATGATGGCTATTCACTGCTCTGAGGGCCTAATGGAGAACGTCTTCCAAGCTGAATACTGTACTAGATCTTATGATATCATTTACAAAGACATCTTGAATTTTCCCACATACATATATATATATATATATTTCAAATGGCAGGCGTTTTGATAGCTATCATTAGCCATTTAGCTGACTTCGGGCTTCACAGAGGGAAAGTTCATCAAAGTAGAAGAAAGTCGAGGGGTGGGGTACAGAAGAGCAATTCACAGATGTAAAAGAGGCAGACAGACACTAAGGTAGAGAAAAAGATAAGATGTGAACTGTGAAAGGGGTCGAATGTGGCAAGCAGTCGGACCATGGTAGTTTGAAGTCAGTAGTCAACTGCCGGATAATAGACTTTTTTGCCGTATGAGTATACGTTGCCCAGGGTGCACCACGTGGAGGCAAGTCTCTCGCACACCCCTATATATATATATATATATATATATATATATATGTAACCTTTAAAAATCACACGCATTGATAGAACGATACATGATGGGCAATTTGTGAGAGGTCCGTGTCCTTTATCACACATAAAGTGGTATCTTGACCTTGGGATGGGTCAAGTAATATCGTGTATTTATTACTTTAAATCAAAACAGCATTAATGCCCCATTTTGTATTCACGCGACCACTCTGTATTATTCATGTGAAGAGAGGCATATTGAAATTAGTCTTAATTGACCAATACTTGTGTACCATTCAATATCTATTATCAGTTATAAGGCGTATAATAAACGAAATTGTCACAGAAGCTTAGTGCTGATAAGGGCACCTTAGGAATAATAATCTCCTTGGTAGTGTGAACTCATTAGCCAATTTGAATGCTGGTGAGGAAATTGATGATATTTGCCTTTTACATGGTAATCTGGTTAAAGTAAAGACTACATCAATATTTCAAATTGTAGGGTGTGCGATGGACTTACCTCCATGTGGTGCACAGTGGGCAACGTGTACTCATGCGACAAAAAAGTCCATTAACCGGCAGTTGACCTCTGACTTCAAACTACCATGATCCCACTGTTATGCATGGTCGAATACTTCCATAGCACTCATCTCACCTTTTTCTACCTTTATATCTGACTCTTTTACATCTTTGAAACGCTCTTATGTTCCTCCCCACACTCGCGACTTTATTTGAAACACTCTTCTGTTCCCACCCCTCTCTCGACTTTCACTTTGATGTTCCTCCTCCCCTCTGTGAAGCCTGAAGTTAACAAAAGAGCTAATGGTAACTATCAAAGCGCCTACCATTTGATATGAATAAATAAAGTATTAAATAGTTCAGATTATTTCCTTCATTAAAAGAGACAGATTAGCACATCTGTTATTTGATATTTCCCCTTGAACTATTTTTACTACTATTTTTACTCTGATATTATGAAGCAAAAAATATTTTAACTTATTTATTTTACGTTCTTGTCAACTGTCCAGTTTTAAAATGAACCGAATATCGTGATGCCCTAAATCTTGTCCGTTTTATTTTTCACTGTTCTTCAAAGAGAGCAAGATTTCACATTGTGTTGCCAAAATATGTAATCACCCAACTTAAATAATTCAATCAACAAGATCTGAAACTTGTGGGCATCAAGACACTCATGAATCCTTGAGATTTAAGTCCATGGCTATTTTTGTCTTCTCGATTCATTCATTATTGCCAAATTTTGAAAATTGTAGAATTAAGATGAAATAACATAGTTGAATTTAACGCCTCACAAATTCGTGTTCATACACGCTCAAATAATAATAGCAGAGCCAAAGAACCCTATCCTTGAATATTTAATCCTCAACTACATGAAATTTATATGTTTGAGCTCAATAGGCCTGAAGTTATGATAACACAAAGGTTTTGGCAAGTTGCATGAGGCAGATTTGAATATTTTAGCTACCCGGAGTAGAGCCCTTCAAAATCTCCTGAACGGAATTCTCATCGCCCACACAATATCCGATGCTATATTACAGATGAATCAAGTCTTCAGTGAAGAATAGGTGATCAATGGATCCAATAACTGTCATTTGTGCTTTCTATAACGAATATGAAACTACTTAAGTAGAGCTTGGTGCCTAGCTTGTCACAAATTAGAGCTATCGGTGCTTCTCTGATGATTTCACTTAACAAGGTGTGAGCACAAAAATTCCATAATCGATAGTCCTTTTGACAAGAGATGAAGCTTGTGTGCGATTCTTCCAGGTTCATCAAAAATATTTATTTAGGCTTCTTTACACTCGAGGAAGCAACAGCTCATGCTTTGACTTTGTAGTAGTAATCAGTATTGAATTTTCATTTAACGTTTTCCAGAAAACCTGACTTAATTCTCAGTGAAATTCGATTTTAATAACTATTAGATAATTTCAGTCACCTTAGTCATTCTGCTGCTAGGTCTCCTTCTAAGAACTTTCATTGTTAAATCGATGCCATTTAATTCAATCATTAATTCAAACACCACAACTACTTACCCACTTTGTATTTAAATGTCTCATTCGCTATTCAATCCAATTCTGCCTGTTCATATCCCACGTTTAAGCGGTTTTAGACAGCAAATATCAATAAATGGCCATCATTAGCATAATTAATGCGTGGCCAATTCAAAACTACTCACAAAGATAATATATTCATTTATTACTGTTTTATTAATGGTTATTTTTAATAAGCAACCCCTAATTTCCAGTAATGTATACTAAACTTTAGACATCGATATTTCCAATTTTTACCTAACAAGTAAATCCGACCACTGTAATCCTTCTTGAATGAAACACGACAATTTTTGTTCTTAGTGAAAAAATGAGTGATTTCAGGCTACCCTTCATCAAGTTCATGCACTTACCATTCCGTCATTTTGATATCTAATTGCGAACTGATGTAAATAAACTTCCGGATCTTGGAATCGAAACAGGCGAGTCCAAAGTCGTTTGATTTAAGAATGTGAATACTTCTAATTGGCAACGAATTCTGCTTTGATATTCAATTCCTCCTGAATGAAGACTACAGCTTAAGAACTGCCAAAATAAGCCTAAGGATTCACTCTTTTAGGAACTTCATTAAATCAACAAAGAGCATTATCTGGAGTGTATTAGGAAGCCATCGGGACGTTGGATAAAAAAATGAGCAGCATAAGAAGAATCAGTGAAATACAATACGAGGATATCTTTATCAAATGTGAAGTGAACTAATTCAACTTACTCTGCCTAATTCATGTTAATGAATGTAAATATTGGACATATTTGGAGATACTTCATATAAACAATCTTGATTTATTTGTAAGTGTACTAGAGAGTCATTATTGTAAATCTATGAGGAATAATATAGTAAACCTTCAGAAATAACTTCAACGAAATGTAAGTAACACTATTTATAAAAATGGAAAAAGTAGAAGATACGTTTTAGTTATTGCCAACTCCGGCATATTTAGAACAACTGGCGTAGATGTCAGCAAATGAGGGCCTGTTTCTTGGTTCAAGATTCCAACAACTATTCATGAGGTTTCCAATCCTGTTGGGCATTGCCATCGGTATTTCTAGTCTACTTCCACTTTGAAGAATCTGGAAGAGATCTTTGTTCGCGGTATTTTCGTATGGCTCCGAACCTAGAGTGTATATCTCCCAAATTGTGACTCCAAATGACCACACATCCGATTTCGTGTCAGAGTTATTTTCATCTTGTAAAACTTCTGGAGCCGACCATTTCGGGTTGGGACTTCCAGCGTTGTATCTAGTGCCAATCGGTCTGCTTAGCCCGAAATTACCTATCTAAAATGCACTTGTGATTAGATTGCATACTTATATTAATTCAGTAGAAATGTCGCTGCTTACTCGAACGTTCTTTGATTTGTCAAGAAAGATGTTTCGTGCAGCTAGATCACGATGTTCCACTTTTTTTAATTCGAGAGCACACATTCCACTGGAAATTTGTCTGATTATTTTTTGGAATTCCTTCTGATGGTTATCGGGAGATTCAAGTTGTTGCAGGTAATCAATCAAAGTATTATGTGTGTTTTCTGTCACAATACACAAGTTCCCATCTTCCAAGTACCATCCAAGGAATGGAGTTATATGATCATTTACAACGTACTTTTGAAACTCACAAAGAATCAGTAGCTCCATTGCTCCTGTCAATGCTCGATCCGATTTTTGCTTTATATGTTTTATCACAATTTTTTGGCCCTAAAATTAGCCAAAACTGTAAGATTTAATTACACATGCTAATGTTACTAATGTGACAGACCATGCTTAATTTGTTAGTAGCAAGTAATGGAAGAATCAAATATGCTTATCTTGAGAAAATGAACAGCATTTAATTTTTTAAATTTCAAATTTTTCGACTAGTATAGAAACTATGGTATTTGTTGATTTTAGACATGTGGATAATACGTTTAATACGTAACCTAAAAAGTCTCATTTATTTTCAAAATATATTAACACCGATCCAATTTACATTGAATTTAGTTAATAAATCAATCGGTCAATATATTTGAACTTTTTCATCGTTTAGTCAACGGCACACATGAGAGGTTAATTGTACATGTTTTTCACACTAGAAATAATATATTTATTTCAAATGGCAGGCTTTATGCTATTTACCATTAGCCCTTAAACTTTGACTTCAGCTTCCCCCAGGGGTGGGGGTACATATATATCAGTTAATTAATAACAGTTCATTAGCCGTCTTCTTGCTTCCCAGTATCTCTGGCTTTCCGTCCTTGTCTTTAGGGCTGGACATCGAATCATGTGGGTCTTCTCCATTTCCTCCTGTAGGTTACATAGAGAGCATGTGGGTTGAGTGTATACTCCCAAACTGTGAGGATGTTCTGCCAAGCAATCATGTCCGGTACGTAGTATAAACTCAGCAACGGCTTCGATTCTTGGCCAGTCGGGTATGTCAGAGAGTGCCACTGTCCACTGTTTCTCCTTTGTTCGAGCTTTGAGTTCGTTGCCCCTTGAGGTCTGGAATTCTCTCCTGATTAAGGCCTTCATTGTGTGGAAAGACATCGGCCGGTCCATGCATTGCAAAATCGTTGTCCCCTTCTTAGCAAGTGTGTCAGCAAGCTCATTGCCTTTAATGCCACAGTGACCAGGAATCCATTGTAGGACCACTGTTTTGTTTTTCACACTCAGCAGCTGATAGAGTTTTCTACATTCTTTTATGTCAGCTGTTTTGGGTGGCTCTCTGCTTCCAATTGAGTTTATTGCTGACTGTGAGTCCAAAAGTATCACCGCTTTGGTGAATTTCGTATTCAGGTAACATAATTGGCATAGTGCTATCCTAATCGCCTCAATTTCTCCTTCAAAAGCGAATCTATTGAGTCCCACTGCTGCAGAGAAAGAGAAGAGTCCAGAATAGACACATGCACCAGCGTTTGCTTGGTTTTCTATGTATGACTCATTAGTGAAGACTTGGAGCCATTGATCTGCAGGATAGTTGACATCACTGGAGCCATTGATCTGCAGGATAGTTGACATTGATTGTCTAGTGATTTCCTGAAAAATGAGTTATTTGCTCTGCACGGGTGTTTGATTTCCTGAAGAAGTCAAGCATTTGGGTGTAACACACTACATCAATGTCTACCAATGGGTTCGTGGATAGAGGGAGGCTTTTTGGTTTATTATCGATTTGTAACGCTTTCTTCAGTTCTATGGCCTTCTGTATTAGACCAGATTGCGTTTTCAGATGCCTCCGTCTATTCTCATTGGTGCTGAAGAACTTATCCATGGGAATGCGCAGCAGCTTCTCATACAAGATCAAGGCCTTTTCTTTGATAAGGGAACATATTGTGGTGCTTCCTGTAACTAGGAGCATTGCATCGATGGGTGTTGATTTTATCCCTCCAGTAATTAGTCGTAATGCTTGGTCGTGTGCCTTCTCGAGGGGTTTGAGAGTCACCTCTGTGGCTGTAATGAGTGACTCACAGCAATACAACATTATTGGCTGAATAAACATCTTGTAAGTGGTGTTGAGAGTTGATCGCGTACAGCCCCATACGCTACCAGCAAGACGCTTCAGTACATTCAGTCTATTGGAGACTTGTTCTGCTATTTTAGCAATGTGACTTTTCCACGTTAGCTTTGTATCAAAAGTCATTCCGAGATATGTGAACTCATTGGTTTTTTCTATGGTAGTATCCTTGTATCTTGGAAGCGGGTTCATGCTGTGATGGGCCAAAGAAAAAGTTTGGAATGCAGTTTTTGCAGTATTGAATACCATTCCATTGTCGTCGCACCAGTTTGCTTGTAGTTTAAGTGCACAATTTAGGGCACTTTCTGTCCTCTCCTGAGCGTTTTGCTTAGGGGCGGAAAACCATAGAACAAGATCATCTGCATAAAGTAAGCACTTAACGCCCGTGACTGTCTGTACCAATTCGGCTATGTCATTGATGAATACATTGAAAAGAGTGCAGCTTGTGACAGCTCCCTGTGGAAGACCTGTTTGTAAAAGATTGGATTTTGATAGAGCATTTCCATATCTGACTTTACACGATCTTTGTCCAATGAACGCTTTTATCCAGTTTAGCATGTTATGCTTAATACCAATCTTTGCCAATTTCAGAATTAGCTTCTCTTTCCATACTAATTCAAATGTTCATTTGAAATCAACGATAACAGCCGTAAGGGTATTTCTTACATCAAGGATATCTTTGATGTGTTGGGAGAAAGTGGCTACTTGTTATTTCGTTGA